GCTAAAAATCTCAGGTTTCCTAGCTGGGCTGTCGTGGACTCATCTTCTATGCAGCAAGCACAGAGAGGGGGCCAGTAACTCACGCTCAGCAGTGTGTGAGGGGCACAGCCTGGGCTCGTCTACACTGGCCCCTTTTCCGGAAGGGGCATGTAAATTTCACTCGTCGTCGTAGGGAAATCCGCGGGGGATTTAAATATCCCCCGCGGCATTTAAATAAAAATGTCCGCCGCTTTTTTCCGGCTTTTAAAAAAGCCGGAAAAGAGCGTCTAGACTGGCCCCGATCCTCCGGAAAAGGGCGCTTTTTCCGGAGGATCGGGGCCAGTCTAGACGCTCTTTTCCGGCTTTTTTAAAAGCCGGAAAAAAGCGGCGGGCATTTTTATTTAAATGCCGCGGGGGATATTTAAATCCCCCGCGGATTTCCCTACGACGACTGCTGAAATTTACATGCCCCTTCCGGAAAAGGGGCCAGTGTAGACGTAGCCCCTGAGTGTGTGACTCCAGGCTTTACAGCGAATGGCTGCTGCTCTTCAGTCTCACTACAGAAGAAGACTTGAGTGTAGGCCTTCCAATATGGCTACAGAAAAATCACATTGTTACACTCCCTCCAGGCACTGGGGCACATGTGCAGAGTGGCTGGCCCCGAGCAGGCCGGGCATGTGGCTCAGAACTAGCAAAAGCCGCATTTCTTTAAAGAGCCACAGGCTGGCCACCCCTGCATTAATGCTTTATTTTTCAAGCCCACATAATCCCTTGATCAAGGGTCTTTATAGCTCAGTTCCAAAGGGAGTGGCCTGTTCATGCAAATTACAGCTATTTATTTTTTGATGCGTGCCTAACTCTCTCATTGATAGTTATGAACATATTAGTTCTCAGCAGAGAATTACAGGCTACCTTCCTGGCCTGCCGCTCCTCATAAGGGTGTAACATGAAGGGTGCACTCCCTCATTTGTATGAAACTATTTCCCAGCAGAAGTCCCTTGTAGAGTCACTTGCAAGGCCTACCAACTTTCTTGGCTCCCCCTCTAAACTAAGATGCTCACCAGTCCTAGTATAGCTACTACCCTTCAGACTTCAAATCTGAGAAAGGCCCAATGGCTTAAAAGCATATTTTTTTTTACTGAGTTGGGAGGCTCTGGCCATATTTCCACTTGTTGGAGGATTGATGCCCCAGTGATCGATCCTCCGGGGTTCAATTTAATGGGTCTAATAAAGACTTGCTAAATTGAATGCTGAGGATGCAGCCGCTACACCTTGCTGTTGTGAGGAGTAAGGGACATCAATGGAAGTGTTTCTTCTGTTGAACTCCTGCTGTGAGACCACACCTGAAAATCAGTGTAAGATATATCAACTCCAACTAGGCAATTCACATAGCTGAAGTTGTGTATCTTGCATCGATTTTCTCCACTAGTGTATACCTAGCCTCTGGAACAGTCAATATAAGACACTGCTGGAGCAGGCATTATAGGGGGTCAGATGTGCATGTTATTCTTGGTAATGAACCTTGGAGTGTAGCACCCTATCAGCGCCATCCCATTGAAACAACAGTTCACAGTGGCCACCTCAGGATCCATAATTTGGGGGACCCTGTGGCAGCTATCTCAACTATCCAATGCCTGGGTCCTAGAGGGACCCAGGGAATTATCGCCACACTCCTTCCCATCCCTGCTCAGCCCCCTTGCCCAAAGCCCTTGAGTGACGTAAGTTGGGAGATTACCGGGGGGCATGATGCACGGTGGCAGCACGGGGTCAGCCCTCCCCACTCACTGCAGTGGCAGGAGCTGGAGTAATCCAGCAGCCTGCTCCATACCAGCTCCTGCCACAATGGTGAGTGTATTAAAAATCTTAGAATAAATACTATAAATTCATTAATGTCATAAATAAATATCTTTTACTTGCTAAAACGGTCTACCTGGTTCTGTCCTTCCCCCCTTGGGTATGCATCATTGGACCTGTGGTTCTCGCAACACTTACATTCTTAATTATGATGTAGTGTATCGCCATGCAATAGTATGAAAAACTAGGTTAACTCGTAAGTAACTCATTAGAAATAATAACAGATCCACAGTAACAAATGATTGGGGGGGGGGGGGGGGGCAGCATGGGGCCTCCGGGTGCATCACACCCTCACTACACCTCTGGTTCAATTGGCCAGAGGGCGGGACAAGGAGGACTGAGGTTCAGGGCTTTCCATGGTCTGGAGAGTGGAGCAGGCTGAGGCCAGGTTGCTCCCCCTCCCACTGCCACTGGTGAGTGCAGGGGTGGGCCTGTCTCCTACTGCTGGTGCCAGGTCCCCTGCTAATCCCCTGGGCT